TCAACTTATTTCAGTTCAAGTGCTCTGCACAGCATCCTGACCTTCTTCCTGTCATATTATCCATCATACATACCACCACTGTGGTTACATGCACCCACTACCCCCCAAAAGCCTGTGAGTTCCTGATGTACAGTGACCTTGCTTTGAATTATGTTTCTAACCCTAGCATTCATCATGATAACTTGGCATAACATTTCTTATCCCAGAACTTAACAAAATAATAGGAACTTTAATACATGTTTGTGGAATATAGTCTTCCTTTCTTTCTTCCTTCTATAAATATTTATTGTGTACCCACTATGTGCCAGCCCTGGAGAAGGGAATGGCAACCCACTCCACTATTCTTGCCTGGAGAATCCCATGGCCTGGCAGGCTACAGTCCACGGGTCGCAAAGATTTAGACATGACTGAGCGACTAATATACACACACACACACACACACACAATGTGCCAGACATCATTAGAGGATATAGCAGAGAACAAAAAAGACCAACATCTGTTCTCCCATAAAGCTTGTATTCTAGTAGGAAGAGACAGACAAATAACAGCTAACAAGTCTTAAATATGTCGTCATTGAAGTGCCATGAAGCAAATCAAAGTAAGGGAAGGGGATGGAGAGGGATGATGTGAATAGACTTCTATTTTATATACAAATGGGCAACTGGCTCATTGAACAAGTAGGTCTTATAAGTAGGTACAATCAGAAAACAAATCTATTCTTTCATTGCTGTCCATCCGTAGTTACTTGAAAGGGATAATTCGTTTTTATGGTCTTTGCTGAAATATAGGACACACTTCAGGACTTTTCTGGTCACTGAGATAATATAAAAACCTTTGGCTACTTCTGTCCCAATAACAGTTTTACTGAGTAAGTAAAATGCCCAGTCCCATGTACCAGCCAAAATTTCATTTAAAATGAAAGGTTATCAAGAAGCATGTTTCAGTCTGGTCTACTTCAGCTGACTTCTTCCCACTTGTGCCCCTGGGAATTCTTCCCTAAACCCCAACTCCTTCTGGCTCCCTGAGGGTTTAAGATGAGGGTGAGAAGACATGAGGAAGGAGAGAAGCAAATGTGGGAAAAGTGGACATGTACTCTTGGTTTGGCTTTCTCTGCGTTTGCCTGTGTCTGACCTTCTGACACTGAAGGATGTTCAGAATTTTCTTGCAGGGTTCTAACAGAAGCTGAGATCCCTTCTGGGGACATCCAGCAGTGTGTTATATGATACAGGATGCCAATCTCTGCACTTAGATGTCCTGGCTCAGCTCATGGGAATACAGTCAATCCCTCTCCCATTCCTACATGAGATGCTCTTGGGCAGGCACTAAAATGGCTCTCTGTCATCTTTCTCTTCTACATGGCCCATATCTCATCTCCCAAAGCTGCATCTGGGCCTGATTACTCACTTATCTTTGTCCCACCACTGATGAGTATGTAGTTAATTCCCTTCTTGCTGCTCTGCTGCTTTAGATAGATTACCAGAGCCTCATATCTGTAACTTAGTTTTGCAGATGAGACTTATAGCACACCTTTTTCAAAATCCTGTCTCTATTTTCAAACTGAATTTTGGCTTTGCTGCAGGTTGGGAAGTGGACCCAAGTTCATTCAGTAACATTCCTATCTAACACACACTGTAAACCTGGTAGGACAAGGTTTCAATGACTATGAATGAAACTCATAAAGAAGGTAAATATTATTTCATTTATACATTCTCTATTAAACCAGAGATTTAACTGCTACAATGCATGGAATATAAGGAATGAATGTTTGAGGTTCCTACTCCTTATATTTCACTTCATCTCACTTCCTCCCACAATCTAGAGACCAAGAGCACTTTCATTTAGGAATTAAAAATAAATGTGTTTAATGGTCAAAGATGCTAAGTGCATGCCAGACAATGCCTGCATTGTACACCTTGAGCTCATTTCTCACCATGCTAAAGAAAGCAAGGGCAAGCTGGGTTTGGAGAAGTGGCAATGGGTGGTTATTTTTTGAGTTAGGCAATATACTCAAGAGCCCCATTCATGTGCTGGCTAATGACCAATTAGGCAGCCTGGTGCAAAGGCAAGAAGGCAGGGTGGAAACCAGGGAAACTGGCAGAATACCCCTGAGATTTAAGCTGTGGGACTAAAGGAGGACAAAGCAGACAGAAATAGAGATGCTGAGTGTGTGTGTGTGTATCAGATAGAGAGGAAAAAGAGGGAGGGAGAGAGGAGGAGAAAAAAAAGAGCGAGGGAGAGAGGAGGCTTGCTTTAGAGCTGTCTTGGTTCCAGTAAGTGTTCTTGTTCCATATCCAGGCAGCTGCATCTTTATAATAAATTCCCATTTTCAGGCTATGTTTATTAGTCTCTGTCTATGATAACTATAAAAGGAATGGGGAACAGCATGGGTTCTGCTAAGCTAATTTATTCCCATCATCTTGCAGAACAGAGAATTTTCTAGAGCCATTCTCAATGGTAGAATTATGGATCTTCCTAGGCTTACACTTTTTTAAAGTAGCCCAGCCTTTGAGGGGCAGGATGTGATCCAAACCCAGACTTCTCAACACATTCACATCTGTCTGTGAAATTACCAACTCTTCAGGCCCCAAGGCCAAACTAAGAAGTTGAACTGAGCCGTCAACTAGTCCCAAATCTCTTGACACTGTAGGACAGAATTTGGGAGACTCTGGGGAGTTGAGTTCCTGCCTCACACTGATTGAGCAAACACCTAAATAGTTTGAGAAAGAAGAATGGAGCTGGAGGAATCAACCTTCCTGACTTCAGATTATACCACAAAATTACAATCATCGAGACAGTATGGTACTGGCACAAGAACAGAAATATAGACCAATGGAATAAAATAGACAGCCCAGAAATAAGCCCATGCACCTATGGGTACCTTATTTTTGACAAAGGAGGCACAAATATATAATGGGGCAAAGACAGCCTCTTCAATAAATGGTGCTGGGAAAACTGGACAGCTACATGTAAAAGAATGAAATTAGAACACTTCCTAATACCATACACAAAGATAAACTCAAAATAGATTAAAGACCTAAATGTAAGACCAGAAACTATAAAACTGTTAGAGGAAAACATAGGCAGAATGCTCGATGACATAAATCAAAGAAAGATCCTCTATGACCCACCTCCTAGAGTAATGTAAATAAAAACAAAAGTAAACAAGTGGGACCTGATTAAACTTAAAAGCTTTTGCACAGCAAAGGAAACTATAATCAAGGTGAAAAGACAACCCTCAGAATGGGACAAAATAATAGCAAATGACAAACAACTGACAAAGGATTAATTTCCAAAATACACAAGCAGCTTATACAACTCAATACCAGAAAAACAAACAACCCAGTCAAAAAGTGGGAAAAAGACCTAAAGAGACATTTCTCCAAAGAATACATACAGATGGCTAACAAACACATGAAAAGATGCCCAACATCACTCATTATTAGAGAAATGCAAATCAAAACCACAATGAGATATTACCTCACATCAGTCAGAATGGCCATCATCAAAAAGTCTACAAACAATAAATGCTGGAGAGGGTGTGGAGAAAAGGGAATGCTCTTGCACTGTTGGTGGGAATGTAAATTGATACAACCACTATGGAAGACAGTATGGAAATTCCTTAAAAAACTATGAATAAAACCACCATATGACCCAGCAATCCCACTCCTAGGCATATACCCAAGGAAACCAGGGTGGAAAAAGACACATGTATCCCATTGTTCATTGCAGCACTATTTACAATAGCTAGAACATGGAAGCAACCTAGATGCCCATTGACAGATGAATGGATAAAGAAGTTGTGGTACATATACACAATGGAATATTGTGTATTCCATAAAAAGCCATAAAAGGAATGCATTTGAGTCAGTTCTGATGAGGTCGATGAACCTAGAACCTATTATACAGAGTGAAGTGAGTCAGAAAGAGAAAGATAAATATTGTATTCTAACGCACATATACGGAATCTATAAAAATGGTTCTGAAGAATTTATTTACAGGGAAACATTGGAGAAGCAGACATAGAGAATAGACATATGGACATGGGAAGAGGGGAGGAGAGGGTGAGATGTATGGAAAGAGTAACATGGAAACTAACATTACCACATGTAAAATAGATAGCCAAAGGGAAACTTGCTATATGGCTCAGGAAACTCAAACAGGGCTCTGTATCAACCTAGATGGGTGGGATGGGGAAGGAGATGGGAGGGAGGTTCAAAAGGGAGGGAATATATGTATACCTATGGCTGATTTATGTTGAGGTTTGACAGAAAACAGAAAAAAATCTGTAAAGCAATTATCCTTCAATAAAAAAAATAAAAAATAAAGTAGGAAAAAAAAGACCCAGCACAGCCAATAAATAAATAAATAAATAAATAAACAAAATTCTCTTTCAAAGAAAGAAAGGGGAAAAAAAGACACCTAAATAGCCATGGAGTAATCCATCCACAACAATTCAAACAGGAAGTATTTATGCAAAGAATCCTCCTTTAGTAACTTGGTCGTACAAATGTTATAGGAAATAATAGCATGTTTAAATTACTTATAACTCTGTCACCTTAAGTACAAAAGATATGAAATCAAAGAAATGGGTTCAAACTCTCATTCTTTCACTCCCTGGCTTGGTGACTTTGAGTAAGTCATTCAATATCTAGGAGTTTCTCCGCACTTGTAAAATAGCAATAATAATACCTACTTCACAGGGTGATGATGAAGGTTAGAGGAGACATCTAGCAAGGTATCACAACAGCAGTAATAATTTCTTGAGCATTCGCTATGTGCCAGGCACTGAGTTAAGCACTTTATTTGCTTTATTTACCCAGTAACCTTATGAAGTGCTCCCACCTTACAGGTAAGGTCACTGAGGCAAACAGTGGCTAAGCCACCCGCCTAAGCAACTAACACAACTAAGAGGAGCCCTGAGAAAGTGCTCCTCCCTCTACTTTTTCATGTTTCACTAGAAGGAAGATTTGGACTTAGAGAAATTAGTGGTTACTACTTACCAGGGGTTCACTGGTTCCAAGTCGATGATATGTTGAATTACATAGTTTTTTCACTTCTTCAGGACCCTCTATATCATAATCTTTGGGATAAGTTTCTCTATCACGGTGCCTTAAGAAGAAAATTAGAATCTGTTAAATGACAAAGCTTATTTATCATGTATTTCATTTAAATATTTTAAAAATAATGCAATGAAAGTTTACTATATTTCTGATATTGTTCTAATGATAAATTTACTGGACTTGGGACATATATTGCCCATCTCTTTTCAGGTAATACTGAGGCTACTCCCTAAAAACAATTTAGCATACATGATAAAACTAATGATAAAAAACAATACTTTTCCAACACAGTGATTATTCAGTGACTCCAGTGAAGTGAATCTTATTTAATAATGTAAATTAATTACTCAAAGTAAGAATTAAAACAAGACATGGTAATATCTTAGAAAGGCAACTTACCACTTTAGAAATTGTTCTACCATGAGTTTTAATTACAATTCTTTTCAAAACAAGAGACAGTAAAATATTTACTCATATGGATTTATAACATGTGATCCCTGCTTCTAAAGAGGGTGTAAAGGAAATTAACAGTTAAACATAACAGTTCTTAAAACATGTAGATGAAAGAGGAAACGTATTCTGAACATTTTGACTAAAACAGAGTTTGAAAATAATAATAAAGGAAACGTCTGGGGATAAGGAAGGAAAGAGGAGGTGAAGTGGCCCACAACAGAAGGAGCAATTTTCACAAAGCTTTCTCAGGTGAGCTAAAGGAAACTGAACCCAAACACCCATCAAAAGAGGTTGGCTTTTTTATCAAGAGATATGGAACTAGGACTATGTGAGGGACATAGAGGTACCCTGGAACTTATTATCCATCCATCCACCTATCTGCTCATTCATTCAGGAAATATTTTAAATACCTATTACATGCCAAGCATTCTGTTAGGTGCAAGAGATACAAATGGGGAGAAAGTGTGGTGTAATTCCTGCCTTCGGTTGCTCATAGTCTGGAAAGGGGTGGGCAATTAAAGAAGAAAAATCTACAGTGTCGTTAAGTGTGGGCACAGGACTGTAGACGCAGAACAGCATTGACTAACCTGGGTGGGGCACCCAGCCTAGGACCTGACCACCCCACCTCACCCCGCTGCATTGGCGCTGGGGCCCTGCACTGCGTTCAGCTTATACCCTTACCGCCCCACCACTACTCATGGAAGCAGAGCTCTGCCTAGGACACAGCAGAGAGGGAGCCCAGGGCAGGTTAGCAGAGCTCCAGCATGAGCCCTCAGCCCTCCTCACATCTGAGCATTAACTGCAAAACACTAAGAGCATTTTGGTACCAATACGATTTTTTGAGAGCCTAAGAGAAACCTCTCACTGAAGTTCTTTAGGGGAATATTGGACATTAAGAATCAGGAGTCAGGGACTTCCCTGGTGGTCCAGTGGTTAAGAATCTGCCTGCCGATACAGAGGACATGGGTTTGATCCCAGGTCTAGGAACTAGGATCCCACATACTGCAGGAGAGCTGAGCCTGTGCACCACAGCTGTTGAAGCCCAGGCACTCCAGAGCTCATGCTCCACAAGAGAAGCCCGTGATGAGAAGATCTGTGCTGGATCTTCACAGCTGAAGAGTAGTCTTGGCTCACTGCAACTAGCAAAAGTCCATGCACAGCAGTGAAGATCCAGCACAGACAAAAATAAATTAATTAATAATTTTAAAAACACACACACACAAAACAGGAATGGTAGAGTGAATGGGGTCATGGGCTTGAGTCATTGCTCAGCAAAGTGCTAGCTGTGTGACCTTGGAGAAGTCACTTAACTTTTCTGTGCCTTTATTTTCATATGTGTAAAATGAGGACAGAAATTATACCAGTACATTTTAAGATTTTTACAATAGTTAAAAGGAAAAAAAATTAAAGGTGGAAGGTCCTGCAAATAATATAAAGAACCCATATAAACCTGCATATAGTGAATACTAATCTGGCTTCAAAAAATTCTGAGGTAAAAAATGTATAACTTAATTTTTGCATTATTGTACTTAATTTCTTTTCCAAGAGCTCATAATTTCAGGTGAAAAAAACCTAATCTCGGTCAATTCTGGTTCTCTTCCAACTCTAAAGAGTTTGTGTGGTACCACAATGCCAAGAACCCATCTTTACTGGCATCATATCTCCTTGCTGGAACCCGTGGAAACATCCTCATTCTCCAATGTTCTTCCATTACGGATCCATGCAGAGCTCTGCTCTGCCCACCTGGTCCTGCCACACAGCCTACACTGACTGGCACTTTGCCGTAAGCGTGCCACTATCCAAACCACCAAAAACCTTTTTGTGTTCTGCTCCAACCAGGGTTCCTAGAAACCCAGATGCCATCCCTGAATTGTTTGCCTGGCCCCACCACACCAGGCTTGGGAGACACATCAGAGCCCCACACACCAACAGCTCTGGAAACATTACCCTGGCAATAAATGATTAGGCAGTGATAGGTGCCATCTACTCTAGGATTTCCAAAGTTTTAATCCAAGTTTGGGATCCCAGACAAATCCACATATTCTCAACTTCTCTGGCCTCTTTCATCTTCAGTGCATGAACTCTTCATCTAGTAAGGGACAGAATACCCCAGCTCTTTATCTATTCTTCCAAATCTGCAGTGCCATCCCAAGACCTAAGGTTTTGAACCTCAAAGCCAAGAATTTGGCTCTTTTGGTGCCTGTTGGGTCATTCTTCCCTGAGGCAATAAAACCAGGATACCTCCCTAGGAACACAGGAATGAAAGGCCAAAACACCAAGTAATATTTCAATGTGTTATCTCCAGGGCCCATCTCTTTCTTAGGCACTATAGGATCCCTGGGATGGGAAGATCCTCTGGAGTAGGGGATGGCCACCCACTCCAGTATTCTTGCCTGGAAAACCCCATGGAAAGAGAAGCCTGGTGGGCTACAGTCCATGGGGCCACAGAGATTTGGACATGAATGAGTGACTGAGCACACACACACACAGGCCCAGTGTCCAGGGCCTGTGAAAGTTTTAGGGGCTGAGAAAAGTGTTTTAATCACTTTAAAATCAGTAAAAAAGAATGTAATCAAGCTTGAATGATATACATCTTTATACCAAAGCAATCATAAACTATCATTTAAAAATTTTTTTAATGGAGGGTGGGACCCATGAAGGCAAAGATAGTGTCCATGAAAGTCAGAATGCAGCCTTGATTATCCCGCCATGTATTTTAAGTTGTATTATAACTAGATTATTACCAAAAATACAGACATGTTCCTTTTCTTACCACAATCTCAGACAACAATCAAAAGCCCAGCATTAAAACATCAATCTATAATGAAACTTTGGAGGACTAAGATAATGCAATTGGCATTCCATAAAGTCTGCTGGCTGCCCACAAATAATGTGCCCAGAGCCAGCAGGTTCTGAGAAACACATAGCTGAAGACCTGCCCCTATTTCTTAGATGCTGCCAACCCAGCAAAAATAAATATATGTGTTCAAAAATGTAAAATATAAAATATGCAAAATGTAAAATTAACAATAAAAATATACTTATTATAATACTAAATGTATACTTAGGGGATTATTTGCCAATATAGCAGTAAAAATGATTAGGGTATTATAAAGGATATGGGAGGCCTAATTATTCCCTGATTTTATCATGTCAGTTGAACATTGACTTGTGCCTCAGTTTCCCCAAGATGAACTGGGAATCATACACTAAGGACACAAATCAATTGAATGAGAGTCTCAAGGGAAAAGTGACATACAAATGCAAATGTTATTATGGGTAATAATATTATATCTATCTATAATATGCTTCATTGGGGATTTTTAAATACTTTGTCAATATCAATTAAGCTTTATAGAATCTTTGTAATACATATATATGCATAATCAAAGTATTATATACATAGACATATATATGTCTATACATATACATACACTTCATATTGCTTATTTTGCCTGCTACCTGAATTTATTTATGGTTGTCATGACTTCTCATTTATTGCAATAAAAATTCTTTATGAGAAAATAATGAATATAATGAAATAAAATTTACAATGTCTGTAGAACAGTAACTTTCAAACTTTTTTGATCATAGTCCCCACCTATACCATTACAACCCACCCTGAGACATTTTTAGTTGTTGCATCTGGGTGGAGTGGTTTGCTATTGGTATTTAGTGGAAAGAGGCTAGCAATGCTCTGCTAAATATCCTATGGTGCACAGGACAGCCCCCACAATAAAGTACTATTTGATTCAAAGTGTCAAAAGTACCAAGGTTGAGAAAGAGCTAGAGAATGACTGTATACCAGATTCTTAGCAGTCAGTTCAGTCACTCAGTCATGTCCGACTCTTTGCGACCCCATGAACTGCAGCATGCCAGGTCTCCCTGTCTATCGCCAACTTCCAGAGTTTACTCAAACTCATGTCCATTTAGTTGGTGATGCCATCCAGCCATTTCATCCTCTGTCATCCCCTTCTCCTGCCTTCAATCTTTCCCAGCATCAGGGTCTTTTCAAATGAGTCAGTTCTTCACATCAGGTGGCCAAAGTATTGGAGTTTCAGCTTTAGCAATAGTCCTTCCAATGAATATTCAGGACTGATTTTCATTAAGATGGACTGGTTAGGTCTCCTTGCAGTCCAAGGGACTCTCAAGAGTCTTCTCCAACACCACAATTCAAAAACATCAGTTCTTCACCACACAGCCTTCAGTCCAACTCTCACATCCGTACATGACTACTGGAAAAACCATAGCTTTGACTAGACAGAACTTTGTGGGCAAAGTAATATCTCTGCTTTTTAATATGCTGTCTAGGTTGGTCACAGCTTTTCTTCCAAGGAGCAAGTATCTTTTAATTTCATGGCTGCAGTCACCATCTGCAGTGATTTTGGAGCCCCCCAAAAATAAAGTCTGTCACTGTTTCCACTGTTTCCCCATCTATTTGCCATGAGGTCATGGGACCAGATGCCATGATCTTAGTTTTCTGAATGTTGAGTTCTAAGTCAACTTTTTCACTCTCCTCTTTCACTTTCATCAGGAGGCTCCTTAGTTCTTCTTCACTTTCTGCCATAAGGTCAGTGGTCCCCAAACCTTAGCATT